TTGTCCTCTCCCTCTCCAGCCCAATGATTACTTAAACTTACACAAAGTGAAAGAGTTTCAGTAATACAACCAAACATGAGCACCCAAAACTGGACAAGATCCCAGTAGCTAAGAGCAGTCATGTGATATTTAGATGAAAACTCAAGACTTGTGTCTGAATCAAGAGGATTGGGAGGTTTAGCAGCACCTTCTCCCTGCTGGATGCAGAACTGAAAGACAAGCGTGATTCAGAAAACCGTTGCCTGTCTGCCTCTAAGTACAAGAAGTCTCTGAAATACAACGAAGGATGAAAGAATGAGGAAAGTTTTATTGCATGAAACAGATAAGAGAGAAGTGAGTCAGTGGTTGCCCCTGAAACTGGTTGATTCTCCTCCTCTTTTCATCCTTAAAACTGTATTTAGTGACCCGTTTTAACAGTAGTAAACAACCCATATCTTTCCACACCGTACTATGAATTTATGCCAGAAAAATAATTACACACATCTAGATAGCGTTTATCAAGCGGAGTTCTTAAACTGCCTTACTGTGGGAAACAAACTATTTCTACCTGTGAGCATAAAATAATGTCCAAATCCCTCCAGATAAACACATTTCAGAGGAGAGGAAACCAACTTCCATATGACTCATCTTCTGGGATAACAACACATTTTCAACCCAAGTTATTCCTCTCATACCGAGTTGCCAACATCAAATGTGTGTTTCAAGGTTCATTTACTCAGAACGCGAAAATGGAACAGTATCTCTGAGCTACCCCCTACAGGGATGCCCATCACTGAAAAGCACACTCGGCCTTTTTCCCCATGGGGAGGCGAATCCCCAACAGCAAACTTTGTTTCTGGCATCACAGCATGCACTCATCAAACCTGTGTTGTGGGGCAACAGCACAGCTCCACTGAAGGTAAAGTAGGTACAGGCTCAAAAATGCCCTGGGCTGGGCACAGAAGTAGCTCCAGCTGATCAGCAGCAGAGAAGCAAATAGGCTTCAGCTTTGTGTGCTCCATGACTCCGTGAAGGCCCTACAGCCCAGGGACTTGGCTTTGCCTCCACAAGCATCACACTGTGCAACATTTTAAGACATGATCAAGTAATTCCAAGAGACACTCAATTTATTTGCTAATTGCAGTTAATTTCTAATTTCAGTATTGCTCTTTAGGCTGCTATAAACAAAACTGATAGCAATATAAACGTTACCATAGCCGTGTTACCTTAGCATTTTTACTGCTAATTATCTCAATCAACTTTTCTATAAACAGACATATTAAGTATTAAGAAGTACCCACATCAGGGGTAAATTAAAACAGAATGATAATGTTCATGGTTTGCACTACAATGATCTACTGGCACTAATTATTAGCTATTCCTGTACACCTGAGATACGGCTGTCCTACAGAAAAGTGCTTACCATTTATTATACAGTAGTCAATCTGACATCAGACTTTATGCATCAAAGAAAAACTGAGATGAGACAGTGTCTTGTCTACCGTGACCTGAACTGTCCCTCACCAAAGTTCTCCGAATGCAGGTTGGGTATGTGATTTAGAAATGCTAATAAATCACTATGCTTTAACTCTTGCAAAACAAGAAGAAATTTTCTGAGGCAATACATTTTTCTATAAGTAGTTGTTGCTGAAGGTCAAAATCACATTTCTAAAAGAATTTAAAAAAAAATATTAGTTTCCTAAAAATAATCCAGAAAAGATCCAGAAAACAACTGTCTTTTTTAATTGCATTAGTAGGAAGTACATTTTCAAAAAGATAAAACAACACTTCTGACCAAAATCTCAGTATTTCAGGAATGAGGAAAGGAGGCGAAACAAAATGAAATGTAAAATTCCATCAAACCAATTGGCCCGTTTTGTGAAAAAACGGTTTCTTATCCAAAAAAAAAAAACAACCAATCAAACAACCCCCAAAAATACCCAACCCAAAAAAACCCCAAACCAACCCAAAAAAGCAAACCACCAAAAAACTCAGTCAAACAAGCCTGGTCACTGTTGAAGCAGGATGTAGAGCTGGCTAGACCGCTGGGCTAATCCATTCCTAACTCATGGCAATATATATAGAGAGGAGATAGCTGACATGGTCTCCAGTTCTGCAGGTAAGACCTATTTCCAATAGCGTTATGCCCTGCTGATCGAATGAGAGAGCTCAAAACACACCATGGGATTTAATATTCAGGTGAGCCATTTGCAACAGGGTAGCTGCAGCTCCCGAGGTGCTCATGCTGACTAACTACAGG